AACTCCCTTCTGGTGTGCCTCACAATTAAAAACCATAAGAATATCAAAAACACCCAGTTAGATTTCTTAGGAGCTGAAGTCCAACATCATCAATGAATGTCCAGTGCATGGACTATATATGTAATGTATAGCATTCTTATCTTTCTTTTTGCTCCATGCTATTGAATGTTCTTGCCATTTTATCTGCATAATCAAATGTCTGTCCTCTGCACTTACTGAAGTCAAATTAGCATTCTGAGCGAGTTCTGAGGAAAGGTCACTCGAACCGCAACATTGACCCTGATTTCTCTCCACAGAAGCTGCCAGACCTGCTGAGCTTTTCCAGCAATTTCTGTTTTTGTTTCTAATTTATAGCATCTGCTATTCTTTTGGTTTTTATTCAAATTAGCATTCATTACCTAAACAATCCAGCACCATGTTGGCCATAATTTCATCATGATGTTATTCTAATTCAAGAAAAGTCGAAGTGTTCAATGAGAAATGATCATTGGGCGACACACGCATTTTAAAATAATAGTTAGTTGATGAACATGTGAAAGAAAAGCTTTGAAGATTACAGGCAAACTGAAGTATCCTGCTTTTCTCAAGTCATCCACAAAAAAAAAATCAGCCATAAGTTGGATGAATTTATCACATATTGTTTTTGGCAGACATAAAGGCTTCCTAGATCCACTACTTCCATAATGTTTTATATGGTTGGCAAGAAATAGATCAAACTTAAAAACAAGTTCTGTTAAGCCAAGAAAGTTCCCAACATATGATGAGCCAAAATTTTCATCGCCTCCCCTCAAAGCTAGTCAATGTTCTGCAATAACCCATTCACTATAAGCTTCAGTACTCTTGCTCTGTTTCTAATCTGTTTCTTCAATATATCTAATCAGTGTTGGATTTAGGCATACTCTACATCTTTGGTCCTCACCTTATGAGGGGCCATTACATGTGAGAAAATATGTTCAGATTTTACCTAATTGGTTGAAAAGTCGGAGACAGGAATAAAGACTACTTAAAATAGACATTTTTATCTGATTTGACAGATGTACACTTATATGGCTACACAATATTACATAAAACAGTCCTACTTGGATATTAAACAATACATGAGCACAACTTTTCAATGATCCTCCGAGTTCTCGTGATGTGAATTCCAGCAGGGTTTCGGTAATCATTAAGCCATTACCCGTCAGTGCTGTCAGTGATGTTGGGAAAAGTTTGCAGATCAAAAGTAATACTGGCCATGCCCAAGTATATTTTCACCATCAACTTGCCCTGAATGAAATGGACCCTTTGTAACTGTATCTAATTTGGCTTTTGCATGACTGCTTAGATTTTTCAAATGAGCTGTTGCAATGTTGACACTGGCACACCTTTTTCTATCCAGATTGAAATATCATCAGCAGTTAAGACATCCCAGAGACAAAGATCATTCAACTTGGTGTATTTATTTTCTTTACCTGGGATTTCAGATTCTGTAACATTCTAAGGTGCAGTAGTCACATTCATATCCTTATCGTCTATCCCAGTAGAAGAAATGGATATTTCTGGTTATTGTTGGCTTGGTTGACTGTGTATGAGACCCCTCTTTTATTACAGTGAAATACCTGTCAATTTTCAGTAATTGTTTTAGCCATTCTTCAACCTGCAGCTTTATTCTCTTCTGATGTGCACGTTCAAAACCTCTCTTTATTTTTAACAGGCTTCTCTGTAATAATGAGAAATAAACTCCTGACGAACTCTTTGAGCTCAATCTTTATTTACAAGTAAAGCAGAAGTTTCTTAAAAATAATCAATAATATATTTACCTGATATCAAAGAAAGAAGGAAGTCTTTTTGAGGCTTTAATTGTTTTTAGAAAATTGATTTATTTTTAAAAGGAAGTAGTTTTAAAATTAAAAGACTTTCATATTTATTGTGATTTTGAAAACCACAGAAGCCATATATTTGGTGATTGAAGTGTTTAATTGGATCATATGACTGTTGAAGGTCAAGGGAAAGGGCTTGCACTGTGGAGGTTTTTCTGACCGACATTGATATTCTGCAGTTCAACAGTGAGAGGCACAGGAGCCTGGGAGTCTGAGCACTGCATTTCCTAATGGAGGCTGGGAATAAGTCTTTCTGTAATGATGCTTAATGTCCAAGCAGGACTGTTTCATATAATATTGTGTAGCCTTTTAAGTAATTTTTTTGTCAAATCAAATTAAAAATGTCTATTTTAGGGAGTCTTTATTCCTGTCTCCTCCTTTTCAACCAATTATTTAAAATCTGAAGTTTTTTTTCACATATAGTGGCCCCTTATAAGGTGAGGCCCGAAGAAGTAGCTTATGTCTAAATCCAGCACTGCTTAGATGTGCATAGATTTGTCTTACTGGACTATAATTATGGACAGCATGGTGGCTTAGTGGTTTGCACTGCTGCCTCACAGCACCAGGGACACCGGTTCAGTTCCAGCCTTGGGCGACTGTGTGGAGTTGGCATGGTCATTCATGTCTGCGTGTCTGGAGATGTACAGGCTAGGTGGATTGGCCATGCTAAATTGCCCATGGTGTCCAGGGATGTGTAGTCTTAGGTGGATTAGTTGTGGGAAATACAGGGTTATAGGGATAGGGTAGTGGGGGTGGATCTGGTTGTGATACTGTTTGAGCTGTTGGTGTGACTTCAGTGGGCTGAATAGCCTGCTTCAATACTGTAGGGATTCTGTGATTCTATAATAAAATAAACCTGGTTGTCCACCTTGTCTTTTGAATTTCTGTCAAGTTTGTTTACTGATAGCCTCCTGTGCCTTCAGAAAGAAAATGTAACAGAGATTACGGTTTGAAATTTTTGAACTCGACTGTTTGTCCTGAAATCCATAAGGTACCTCAAAAGGAATAGCACTTTACTTTGAGCTTCATTAGAACAAGGTGATCGCTATTTCTTTTCAGAGTCGTAATTTGTGCCAAGCCCATCCTGTAGTCACTGTGCGTATTTCTAGGCTGTGACTGGATTCATAACCTGAATCCAGAATGAACATTTGAGTGCCTAAATTTTTCCAGGAATCAGCATATTAAATTGTAAAATCGGGAGGGGACTGGAGAACCCCAACTCCACAAACTGATCTGAGTAAGGCTTTTCTTGAAGGGGCAGATTAAATAATCTTTTGTAGCTCCTTGAAGCCGGTGAAAGATATATACTTTAATTAAAAAGTTTGATTGTGTATTTATCAATATTTAATTATAGATATAAATGGTAAACAGATTGCTTTTATTATAATCTGCTATTGTGATGTATTATTGAAATGTGGAATAAGGTCACTAAGCTTAATTTTAACTCAATTCTGTCCTCTGTGTAACCCTATTTTGTACCAAAAAATGTTTAAAGTGAGCAATTGTTTTCTAATAAAAGCACAATGAAAATGATATTGAATTACAAATATAGTTGCAACAATCTATAACTCAATGTAGGACTTTCAAAGTAGCAGGAAATACATCCATGATGAGTGATGTGTAGTGTTCAGTACCAGGTATGGAACACAGAAGTGTTGCTGAACAAAGAACGAACACTTCCTAACTGGCAAACAAACTAAAGTAAAATTTTTAAAAATTCATTCATAGATGTGGGTATTACTGGCTAGCCAGCCTTTATTGCCCATCCCTAATTGCCCAGGGGGATTAAGAGTCAACCACATTGCTGTGGGTTTGGAATCACATATACTCCAGACGAAATAAGGATGACAGTTTCCTTCCTGGAAGGCTATTAGTGAACTAGATGGGTTTTTCCTGACAATTGACAATGGATTCATTGTCAGGATTAGATTATTAATTCCAGATTATCATTGAATTCAAATTTCATCATCTGCCATGATGAAAACCAGTTTTAAACCAGTCCCTAGAACAATAATCTAGACTAATAGTCTAGTGCTATTGTAATTGGACCGTTGCCTCCTCACATACATTTGTGCCACCTCCAACTGTACATGCACAGCTCATAGATAGTTACAAAACAGCATTATTAAAGATATTCTGAGTGTATGTCGTGCCTACTCTGTGCTGAGACATGGACCCTGATATTTATGGCTAGTGCCTGTTTTGGTTACAGAGTTTGTAGGGGAATAATTTGGAAATGCAAAGGTGCTTTTGAGTTTATCATCAACATGTCTTTGTTTAATTTCTAAGGCAGCAGTCAGCCAAATTGACAGGCTGACTGATGGGAAAGTTAATGGTGGAGGACACAATTTAAGATTATTGGAAAGAGTCCTTGGAAAACAGAAAACATCAGTGGTTGGTGAATACTATCAAAGAGGCTGTTGGCGTGCTGAGCAAGTTTGCAAAGAAAGCTTGTGTGGTTAGAAATGGGCGAAAGCCTGATAGATGCAGGACCAGGTCCATTTGGGTTACACAAACATCCCTGTGCCTCCTGACTTGAAAACATTGCAATGAAAAGCCCAGCTGCTTTCTTCCTTAAACTGCTTAAACTCAGCTCTAGGAAGCTCCAAGTGTAGTCAGAATATCAGCAATATTATCACAGACAAGCCTTTTCAGCATAGATTGCTTGGATTCCCTGATACCCAGCTTGGTTAAAATGGCAACCGGTAGGCTCTGGGTAGGTTGGGTCATTGTTGCATACAATGCCTTGTTTCCCTAAACCTTCCCTGCCTGCCCCTCCCCTGATCATATTTCCACTGCTGCCATTACTGCATGGCGTATGCATAACTCCATAAAAAACATAAATTGAGAAGAATCACCACCACCATCTCACCTCCTCTTCTCCCCACATCCCTGTAAAAAGAAAAAAACAATTGAACTTGATGACTCCCAGGTGTCGACTTTGACAGAAACACTTTGATGATGTAAGAGCTCAGCATACCAGAATGCCTCAAAGCACTACATAATTTCATTGGGCCAGCTGTTACGTAACCCCACACTTGTGTCTCTTGACATCCCAAACAGGTTGTAAATGAAACAATACTGCGGCAACTTTTTTTTTGAGAAGAAAACAACCTTAATTTTTTTGATCTCTCTATTCAGATCTGTCTGTTGCAAAGAAGAAGTTTGCAGAATCTTTAAATGAATTTAAGTTTCAGTGTATTGGAGATGCGGAGACAGATGATGAGATCAATATAGGTGAGTTTTATTGTATTTTCTTCTCCTTATCTTATTAGTGACAAGCTTCACCATTCCCAAAAGATAAATTGTTCAATGACCATTGCACAAAATTGGTTAATAGTGACTTGTAACTCCCTCACAGACTTGTTTAGTTCACTTAGCATTTTATGTCTTCAGTGCTCACGTAGTGAAAAATTTACATCAATAGGTCACACATCTAATTCGATTCACTGTAAACAACAAATGGTTCTAGTCTCAAAGATTGTAGGAACTGCAGATGCTGGAGAATCCGAGACAACAAGGTGCAGAGCTGGATGAACACAGCAGGCCAAGCAGCATCATAGGAGCAGAAAGGCTGACGTTTCAGGCCTAGACCCTTCATCAGAAATGGGGGAGGGGAAGGGGGTTCTGAAATAAATAGGGAGAGAGGGGGAGGCGGATAGAAGATGGATAGAGGAGAGGATAGGTGGAGAGGAAACAGACAGGTCAAAGAGGTGGGGATGGAGCCAGTAAAGGTGAGTGTAGGTGGGGAGTTAGGGAGGGGATAGATCAGTCCAGGGAGGATGGACAGGTCAAGTGGGCGGGATGAGGTTAGTAGGTAGGAGATGGGGGTGCGGCTTGAGGTGGGAGGAGGGGATAGGTGGGAGGAAGAACAGGTTAGGGAGGCGGGGGCGAGCTGGACTGGTTTTGGGATGCGGTAGGGGGAGGGGAGATTTTGAAGCTAGTCTCAATGCAGTTTTTGTATTCTATTATGCTTGCACTCTTCATCTACGGAACAGATTACATTTAGAGTGGTATCTCACTATCATGAATTACCTTTGTTTTGTGGTGGATAACAAAAATACTGCGAGAAATAGATGCCCACCAAAGTATGAATGATCGGAATTGGTATTTAAAATAAGATTTACTGTTGTCATTTCTCTAAGTAATTGTCTCAAAATAGAAACCTGAAGGGAATTGGAGGCAACGTTCCACTTTTGGTGGCAGTCAGTTAGTGGGTAGATTGTTAGTTTCATCTCTGTTTCTTTACCATGTATTTTCCCTTAATAATTTTGGTCTTCTACATAAATAAATGGAACATGGGAACAATTTGTAAATCCAGGGACAGGCTAATGAGAGAAAGGCAAAGGCCATATTTTGAAGCACCAGTGAATTATGCCACTGCATGATTCAGTAATTTGTTCAGTTTTGTTTATGTACTTGATGGCTATAGCCTAATTTGTGCCCTTTTAATGCAGTGGCATAGTTTGGTATTATTTTAGCAATTTTGGTCTTTTCTACTGGCTAATTATACTTTCTTTCAAAGCGAGGTCACTTCAGGAGTTTGCAGGAGTTCTAAAGAGCCTTGAAGATGAGCGGGGACGTTTGGTGAGTGATTCCTTAGGAAGTACTTGCAAAATAGAGCACTATGATAGCAGTAATGAGGACTTGGCATTACAGTAAGATTTTATTTGGGAAAAATAGAATGTACAATTGGAATGTTCAGTATTCTGGGCAATTTTAAGCAGGGTTTTCTGGGGGAGAAAAGCTGATTTGCTGGTGTAATTATGCCCTCTTCTGGTTTGTACTGAAAATGCACGCTTAAAACCTCACTGTTTTAACATAATCTGAATTAAATTTTACTAAAGTACTGAAGTTAGTTTCTGAATTACTTTGGAAAGATTTTTGCATACTTTCTTTGCCTCCACAGGCTATATGTTAACTGTTGTAAGTGTATTTTTTTTCAATCAACCTATTTCAAAGTGTCATGACACACTAACATGTCCTGAAGTGAGACTTGAACCTGAAGCTTCAGGCCCAGACATAGGAGCACTACCACTGTGCCACAAGACATCTCTGCCTTACCCTTTATTTCATTACACAGAATTAGCACAATATCCTAGCCTATCTGGAAGTAGAGGGTCTGATTGGTTTGATTAGCTGTCTGTCATGTAACCTGTCTAATTTCACTTTACTTTGACTTTAGTATCTGCAAACAAAATTGTTCAAGGAAAAGCCTTATGGAACAAGTGCATTTAATTCATTTTGCATTGTTCAAGATTGCTTAGCTTCTCTATTCGCACAGTCTTGTATTAGACATGGCATTTAAATAATTGTGGTTTACATTAATGCAATTTGTCCCATATTTGCAATACCAAAGGGTTCATGTTTTGGAATACAGCAGTTTAAGGGAAAGGTTGACTACCACTTTCTCAGTACAGATAGAGCTGTGTGATCATTGTGGACTTACCACGATCTGAGAAAAAAAAACTTGTAACATTCTTCTACTTAAAAGCTGTATGTGGGTATGAAGTGAGGCACTTGATCAAGATTAATATTTGAATGCACAGTGATATCTAAGAATAGACAATTGTAGCTATGGATACTTTCTTGACTTGAGTAGCAAATCTCGTAGCCAATACCGTAGGAGTGATGGACAGTGTTTCCATTGCTGCGATAATCATTCTAAGAATGAGCAAGGGCAGTGAGTCGAGGGATGACCAGGGTTATTCAGAGTTCGATAAGGAAAAAGAAGAAAACATTTGTCAAGTTTTAAAAATATGAGAGGCATGGAAGTACATTAAAAATGGGGGAGGTCCTTGAAAAGTAAAGAGAGTGTAGGGGGTTGCTTAACATGGAAATTAGGAAAGCAAAGAGGTGAAGTATTAAATTTAGCAGTCTCCTCCTTTGCCTCCCATAGCAGCCAGGGATACAGCTCATGAGGCCCTAGGGATTTATGCACCTTTATGCCTGCTAAACATCTAACACTTTCTCCTTATTAATCTTAACATGTTTAGTACCTCACCACTGTAACTACAATACCTTTCTTCTGTGTGAGTACAACTGAGAAGTACTCATTTAAGACTTCACCCACATCCACTGGCATCATGCACACATTGCCCCATTGGTCGCTAATAGGCGCTGCTCTTTCCTTGATAATTCTCTTACTCTTAATAAACTTTTAAAAAAAAAAATGTCTTGGAGTTTTTGCTGTTCCCAACTGCCAAAGATTATTTTTATACAAAAATATGAGAGATATAGGCAGTAGATTGGGAGAATCTTTTCACCATGGTAGATGTATCTAAGACAAGAGGACATAAGTTTATGGCATGGTGACCTGAGAGGGTGTCAGACGCAGGCACTCTCGCCACATTTAAGAAGCATCTGGATGAGCACTTAAAATGCCAGAGCATAGTAGGCTATGAACCTAGTACAGGTAAATAGGATCAGAGATAGGAACTGCAGATGCTGGAGAATCTGAGATAATAA